GCAAGTCGCAGGCGGTCGCAGGAGGTCGCACGAGGTCGCAGGAGTTTGCAGGAGGGCGCAGGAGTCGCAGGTCGTAGCAGGTCGTACGAGGTCGCAGGAGGTCGCAGAAGGTCGCAGGAGGTCGCAAGTCGCAGGACGTCGCAGAAGGTCGCAGGAGGTCGCAGGAGGTCACAGGAGGTCGCAGGTCATAGCAGGTCGCAGGAGGTCAGCAACACCAACATCGGACAAGGGAGGAGGTCGCAGGAGGTCGCAGGTGGTCGCAGAAGGTCGCAGGATGTCGCAGAAGGTCGCAGGAGGACACACAAGGTCGCAGGTCGCAGGAGGTCGCAGGAGGTCGCAGGTCGCAGGAGGTCGCAGGAGGTCGCAGGTCGCAGGAGGTCGCAGGAGGTCGCAGGCTGTCGCAGGAGGTCGCAGGTCGTAGAAGGTCACAGGAGGACACAGGAGGTTGCAAGAGATTGCAGGAGGTGCAGGAGGTCGCAGGAGGTCGCAGGAGGTCGTAGGTCGTAGAAGGTCGCAGGAGGTCGCAGGAGGTTGCAGGAGGTCGCAGGTCGCAGGACGTTATCCGGGGCGATAGCCGCATGTCCGCAGGCCAAATGACCTGCCGCATACCACAGATTATTTGCGCCATATCATAGGTCATCTGTCAGAGACCATAGACAATTTAACGTAGATCGCATGTCATTTTTCACATATCACAGATCATCTACCGCAGTTTTCTGGTACAGACATTTCATCAAACACCTTATGTGCATGCAAAAAAATGATTAGAATATTATAAAAAAAATCAACGAGAAGAGTATTTAAATAGATTAGATAAAATATATAAGAAATAGAGAAAATAGAAAAAATATTGGAGAAAAAAGAAGATCAAATAGCAAAACTTACCGATTTTTAAAAGATAGATTATCACACAATCGTAGAGAAATACTCTAAAGGGTAGTTTGGGTATTTAGAAAAAAAAAGTATATTATGCAAAAGTTGTTTTTTTTGTGAGATATTTTGCAAATTTCGTTTTTGTTTTGGTACAGTTTGCCAACTGCCCCTTTCTTTTATTAGTTCTTTAATATTTCTAACAGTAAATTTTATTGATATCATTTTAAGTGGAAATTAGAAGTTTTTACTTTTTACTATATACCGGAGAAATACTGATAAAAGTTAGGGGTTCTTGGCTAAGTGTGACAAAAAGATGACATGTTTAGAAATCTATACCTTTTTTTCTATCCTTTGAAAACTATACCTTTTTATAAATTTTTGACAAAACTATCCTTACTTTATTGTATAATTTCAATATTACCATTTAGCGTCCCAAAAAATATGCAATATAAAAAGCATATTTTTTTGAAAACTGTGTAATTCGGGAGAACTGTTTTTCATCCGGGAGAGTCTGTTTTTATCCGGGAGAACTGTTTTTTTTTTCCGGGAGAGTCTGTTTATTGTCCGGGAGAGTTTGTTTTTTGTCCGGAAGAACTATTTTTCGTCAAGGAGAATCTGTTTTTTGTCCGGGAGAACTGTTTTTCGTCCTGGAGAGTCTGTTTTTTGTCCGGGAGAATTTTTTTTTGTCCGGAAGAACTGTTTTTTTTCCGAGAGAGTTGTTTTTCTTCGGGAGTGTACGTTTTTTGTCCGGATGAAAAACAGTTCTCACGTATAAAAAAATTGTTTTTCATATAAAAAACATTTTTTCCCCGATGAAAACAATTCTCTCAATAAAAATTATTCTTCCAGACGAAAATAGACTTTTTCGAATAAAAAACAGTTCCTTCGGATTCCGAATGAAAAAACAATTCTTTCGGATGAGAAACAGTTCTTCTTGATAAAAAAATTATTTTTTCGTATACAAAAAACAGTTAAACAAAATATAAATAGATTTTCACATATGGAAAATAATTATCCCGTATGAAAAAAACAGTTTTCCGAGATAACACAGTTTCTCAATAAAATATATTTTTTATGGTGTAATTTTTTTGAAATGTTTAATGGCAATATTGAAATTATACAATAAAGTAAGGGTATTTTTGTCAAAAAATTATAAAAAGGTATAGTTTGCAAATGAAGGAAAAAAAAGGGTATAGATTTCTAATGACGTGACATTTTTGGATACTGGTGCAAATTTCCTCTAAAAGTGGTCATAGGGAAGAGGAATACAGCTAACCTTTACTGTCTTTTACCTGCTTCAATGGAGAAAGTCTAAGGAAAAGACATGGGGTGAATCGATACCTCGATGGCGAGCGACAGAAATAGAGATATAAGACGAATAGATGGTGAAATATTCGGGTAGAATTCAAGTACAAAAATGATATATTTTATATTTATAACAAAAAACGCATAATGTAAAATATTCAATTGGGACACCAAATGGTTACAAAAAAAAAATTTAACATGGTTGAACATAATCAAGAATAAAAATGTACATTCTAATATACATCTTTGACCTATTTTTAATTATTCATATTCTAATCCTTTAAATGGATGATAAAAAAACCTTATATCCCAAAAAATTAATCATCAATTTTCTAGAGATTGGGTATTTATGTTGATGACACCCCATTTAATTTAGATCCTTTTCTTGGTGCTACGAATATGACATATTTTTGTGGTAAATGGTATCCGCAAAATGGAAATAAATGTCTCTTTAATTTCTCTCCACCGCAATATCAGAAATGAGCAATGTTGTGCCTATCACTTTGACAAAACAAAATCTTGTTTTGTCTTATATTGATGATGAAGATAACTATGATTTTGAAGATTTAAGTCTTACATTTGCCCAGAAAGGTAAACATTTGCATCATAACAATTCTGAAATCAAATCATTTATCTGTTATTTGGAAAAACAACCAAATTTGAAATTGATTTTCATTCTATCTCATTTAATAAGTTTCACCATATACATCAATTAGTTGGTGGTTCAATAGTTTAAAGGTGTCATAGTCACTCTAAAGTCATGGGTTCAATTTTATTTATGGGGAGAAAAAAATGTAATTAATGGTATGATTTAAAACTGATTATAAAAAAAAATCAATGTATACTATTATTATGACATACTTCGG